TGGCCTTTCAGCATCTCCAACTCGGCCTCTGTAAGTCCCATTCTAAGTCCTGCTTCCTTTTGGAATGATCCGAGTCTGTGTAACTGATGTGACAAGTTTCACCCTTTGCTGTATGTAGATGTATGAATTCTCTAATAAGTATCTTTAAAGCAACTCAATCCTTATCCTCAGCCTTTAAATGTTTGATGCAAAGAGCATGCTGCCAAAATATCAAACATATGTGCTGTTTGATCTACAGATAGGCCTTACCCAAAGCTCCTCATCCTCAGCGCCATTTCATAAAGCACAGTAAAGCGTATGATAAAAGCAGATGTGTCCTGGCATGGAATAACAGCCATAATTTGATATTCACCATGATTTGTGCTGTTACAGTAAAGCCTTTCTGTAAGAAAAGGGAAAATACACCCTGTATGTTGCTTAAAAAAACTCATAAATATAAACCCATCCTTGTATTTAAGTCTATAATGTGTAAAAGTTGTAACTAGTTTAAACTTTCTAAAAGTCTCCAGTTCATCTAAAAAAATTCACAAAAAAGTGCCAAAAACATTACGATCCCCTTAACATTGTCAGTTGCTTGTTCCATAGGTAGATAAAAATACAAAAAAATATATGAAAAGGAAAAAAAAGATGCATGAAATCAGTCCTGACATTATTGGTGTAGAATTATATTCTGAGACACTGTAAATATCACTCTGTCTTACAGATTTAGGAGCATTATCACGGCATTTGCTGTGAAATGCAATGGGCCAACAAGTGCAATATTTTATGGATGAAATCCTGTAAATAGTTTCCTTTTGTCATCTTGTCTAGCAGCGCCATCTGCAGTTTGTGAGAGAAAATTGGATGTCATGGTTCTGGAAATGTTTGCCCTTTGAAAAGGAGTGAGAACTTGCAGTCACTGAGCGTGATGTGTGATGTTTGTAGTGGACATAAAAGGCTGCAGATGCCGGTCAAAAGGCCTGTTTTTGAAACCATAAAAGATAAAACCAAGATACATAATTTCAGAACATTCTCCACTGTTAAGTTGACCTTTGACCTTTTCAGCCCCATTAAAAAACACACTAAATTCTCCCAGCTTTTTTTTTGTTTGTTATTAAACTGTCACAAGTACAGAGCAATGAAAATAACTCTCTGCATTTAACCCATCCCCTTGGGGAGCAGTGAGCTGCCATTGTGCGGTGCCCAGGGAGCAGTGTTGGGTTAAGGGCCTTTGCTCAGGGACCCAGAGTAGGAGTCTGTGGGAGTGGGGCTCGAACCCAGGACCTCAGGATTCCAAGCTCTATGCTCTAACCACTAGACAGCCACTCCCCTCTTTAGGGGAGTAAAAAAAATAAATAAAATAAAATAAAAAGCTAACCCTTAGATAATATGGTTACTATTAAAGAAGTGATGTTGAATCACTTTTTCCTTTCTCAATATTTTTGATTGGACTGCACCAGGATTCTTGCCTAACTTTTCTCCCATGCTCAGCCTTTAACAGATGCCACCACAGATCATCAATCAGATTCGGGTCTGAACACTTGCTTTCAGAACCTTTATCTTATTGCTGTGAAACCTTTGTTTTGTTGGTTTAAATGTTCTGTATGTTTACTTTGGGCTGTGCTGAAAAAAAAAGCTCCAAGTTATTTGTAGCTTTCTAGAAGGAGGCTGAAGAGTTTTTTTTTTTATTCGAAACTGACTAGTAAAGTATTTGCAGCACTTCATTATTTCCACAACATTGACTTAGGCCCCAGTTACAGCTGAAAAGTAACAACCCCAAACCATGACGCCGCCGCCCCTGTGATACAGTGTGAATAAACTCTTCTGGACATAGGCATGGTCCTTTTTGGGCCAGACACACCCCTTAGGGTAGTTCATCCTTAATAAAACCAGAGCAAAGCTCAAACAACCTTTTGGGACCTAGCATGTGTTGTTGCTACATCTTTCCAAAAAAAAAAAAAAAAAAAAATTATATCCTGTTATCCAACTCCGTATCTCAGTATTGTTACATGTTCAACACAAATTTCCCAAAATCCAGCAGCTTCTTTAAAGTATCTGTATCTCATAGAGGTTTCACTGATCTCTTCTCATCTTGCCATCATTTTGGAGGGGCATGCATTTCTTGGTAACGCTTCAGCTTATGTTCTCCACTTCTCTAATGTCTTGCCATTTTTTTATAGCCATGCAGTGACTAATACGTTTTGAGAATGTGGTCCCTGTGATGAATATGAAGTTGTTCATGGTGCACAACGTTTACTGGAAAACTGTGTACTAGAACAGCAAAACATTATTAATGCTAGAATAGATGGATTTTTGGATGCCAGGTGGAATGTGGCCTTTCATTCTTAACAAAGCCACATCGGGTATCAAAAGAGAGTGACGCGATTAATCAAAATTCTTATAGGAGGTTTCTTTTTCCGAATATAACACATTTTTTATTGTTTTCAAAGGCTAAAGGTCACATCAAAGGAGAAGCTCTGTAATTATTTATCTTGATTGCTTTGTTTTACATTGAAAAACCTGCCACTTTAACAGGGGTGTGGACCTTTTATAATTGTGTTTAATGTGTGATTGGGTGTGAGTGTGTGTTTACCATACTAAAGAGACAAATTAGAGATCTATTGTGTATTGTTTGTGTATACCTTTTTGTACCAATGTATTTGCGTACTGTTTGCTGTTCCTGCTAACTATTGGGTGTCGACTGAACTTCTGTTATGTTAAAATGCAGTGTTGTTGTGAAGATAGTCAGGGAGATAACATAGTCCATGCCATATGCTGTACTGTTAACACTAAGGAAAAGGGATACACTTAAATGTGCACACAGTTTGTGTGTTAGCATCTGTGTACATGTCTTATGAAATAACTTTTTGAAATACCTTGTAGTGCATCCCAAGTAAAGATTCATTTAATAATAAAAAAATAAAAAAACAGATTGTCAATCGGATAAATTAAATCTTTAGAAATCCTGACCTATAACTGAATATATTTCTTGGAGTGCAAGCAACGTAAAATTGTATGTTTTTGAGATTATAGAAAATAAATTCAAATTCTATGACTTTGTTTCTGGTTTTTCTTTTTTTTACACTTTTGCACACTAGAGTGTGCCAGAGGACAGTAAACAGGCTGCTGTATTTTTCACTTGATGCAGCAGGGGCAGAACAGGTTTTTTTTTTTTGCAATACAACAAGCTCCACCTAGAGGTAAAACTAATTCTTTCCAGGCTGTTGTTTATATAGTCATCATGAAAACATCTTTGTTGGCTCCTGGTCTTGTTGGACCTCTCTTCCTTTCAGTGAAATATGAATGTATAGCATTCAATTTTCAACTTGTATCAGAATAATACATATTTGCTCCAATCTGTCCTTCTCAGATGACCCCAAATTAATGGTAAGGTTTTTCAGAAACAACCCAGGAACCAAAGAGGTCCAAGCGATTAATAAGCTGAAAGATGCTGATAAACCAGCATCAAATTCACAAAAATGTATATAGTCAACTTCCTATCAGTGTGGACTACAGGGGTGCCTACTTTTATTTATTTATTTTTTAGTACTGAAAAAAAAAAAAGCTTTTTTGGCAAAATCACAAGATGGAGGTTTAGAAAATGAAGAAAAAAAAAAAAATATGGTACCCTTCACCATTTCTGGTTTAAAACAGCTTTCCACAACAGTGGTGTTCAAATCACCAGAAATCAAGAATGGAGGAATTAAAAATTCTATGTAATAGCTTGGGCGGTTGAAACAGATGCACATTTTAAATGAAAATATGTGAGGGTTCAATTTTCACAGATGAGAGGTCTTTCAATAATGTTATAAATTAGAACCTTGTAAAAAATGTTTTTATCTTTATCAACTATGATAAAAAAAAAATATTATTCTAAGGTAAATCAGACTAGAAACATTTAGTGACTGTTATATCACACCAGTCTACATAAAGCAGGAATGAACCATATTCTGTTCTTTGGTCCATTTCACAAAGCAGGTTCACTGAAAACTATCTTAAGTCATACAGTAGTAGCTGCTCTTGTCTTTGAAGGAAAATTCAGCTGGGTTGCTGCCATCGAAAACCCCAATAACAAATGATTAGGTTTGGGCTGTTTTTTCAGTGCTTAGCTCTGTTTCTCTCTCAGAAATATGGGCTCAGCTTTCACTGTGACTAACTATATGTCTGGCTGTCATATGTCATTAAAAACAAGAAAAACAGCTCATCTGCTTAAATGCTTTTTTTCCAAGACACAGTTCTCTGGAGTTGGTTTACCGTTACCTTTTTTATGCCTGCTTCTGTCTCCTTGAACCCCAGTCGGCCTCAGCAGATGGCTGCTCACACTGAGCCTGATTCAGCTGGAGGTTTATTCCTGTTAAAAGGGAGTTTGTCCTCACCACTGCCGTTGCAGCTATGCTTGGTTTGAGGGATTGCTGTAGAGTCGGTAACACAATGTAGGCAAATACCTGGTATTACCACATGCTCATCCAGGTCGTGGACATCATGCAAAGTCAATAACTCGATGCAGTCAGCTGGTTAGATAGAACACTTTAACGTATCTGTATTATCTGATTGAACTGTCTCCATAAAGTGCCTTGAGATGATGTGTTGTGAATTGGAGCTATGTAGATAAACAGAATTGAATTTGTAGGTTTTTTTTCAGTGTAACCTAATCAGATATGTTAGGATCAATGGTTTACATTATTTTTTCTGTTTCAAACACACCTTAAAAATAAAAAGCTTATTATTAAAAGCTGGATATGACAAAATAAATCTATGCTACTTCTAAATAACATACTGTTACTTTGAATGATCAAATGATTGTTGGTTACTTTCTTTTAAAGAAAAACTAAAATTTTAGATTTTTTTATGTCCGCAGATTAAAGGTGTTTAAATTTCAATTTACTTTTTGTAAACATGACCAATGGGTAATTAAACCAGTGAAATAAAAGCTAATTGCAAGGCTTTTGCACACTTATTAGGAAGGGAATAACAATAAAAAAAAATTGACAAAAAAAACAAGCATCCAGTAAGTAGGCAGAATCAACCCATGCTTTTATTTATTCCATTGCATATAAAAACTTTTTTCATTCTTTTTTTTGTTTTGTAGATAAAGTATGTTCTACAGTGCTATCCAATAGACTGCGATTAACAAGGAATCCATTAAAATAACATTTTAATTGTCCTGTGAAACGTCCAGACAAGTTGGCATTCTAAAGACATAACCCAAAAAAATAATTGTCCTTAAGACCGTTTTTTTTGTTTTCGGAAGTTACAGTTTGTGTTTTCTTTGCACTCCATAAAAAAATAGAACACATAATGAGAAAAGAACCCACTATTTCCATTGGTCCAGGGCTGTTTAAAATCTACAGTATGTGTGTCAAAATAAGCGTCCTGCTTTCAGGATAACGATGCAGTTCCCCCCACCCAGTCCCTAACCCCTCTTCTGCCCAAGCAGAAACATGTCAGTGGTTCTGGATATTGCAGGTAACTTGAGTGGAAGTGTGGCCAGAGCATGGACCAGCAACACACCGTCAAGTATTTCAGCCAGAATTAATGCAGCATTGGCTGAACAAGCAGATGTGTCCCAAAGCCTCTGTGCTTGGTATGGCCGTAGTCGAGCACCAACTGCACACTGCTGTAGCCATTCAAGGATTTACTTGTATATAAAGCTGTGATCCAATCAGAAATCATTCGACAGCTTCGTGTCTGTCAGTGTAGAGGCAGAGTACAGTGTAAGCTGTTCAGACCAGGTCTACAGCGAAATATGAGGCTTTGACATCCATCAACAGGCCACAATCACTCACGCTGTGGATGAATGACTTGTGGTTGACCTGAACATCATTGACAAACTTTTGTCCCCCCCCCCATCTGTGACTAATGAAAAAAAGGCAACTTTTCCCTACAAGTCATCATTCCAAACAAAGCCAAGAGATTCACCAAATGCAGCAAAGGAGAACTGGGGAATTAAAGGAAAAACAAAAGGCTAAAAAATAAAGGATGTGTTTAATTTAAGGCACAGCCCATGGTCCAAGGAACAGCTTCTTAAAAAAAAAACACAATTTGGCTTTCCCCTCTCACTCCTTTTCTCCCCTCCCCCCCTCTGAGCTGGTTCTCACATGAGCGATGAGTCGATCGAGCGTTTTCTTTTTTCTTTTGTTTTACACCAAAGCTCGTGTTAATAAACATTCTCTCAACAAGAGGTACATAATACGGCCACGCCATCACCAAAAGGGATGATAAGAATTAACCATTTACAGCAAAATGCATTATGATAGTAAGAACATTAATAATTATATTTTATATACAGCACAATAAATATATGTTTGTAAACAGCAATAAACCAGAAGATCTTATTACAGGTAAGGGCATCAGGTGAGGATGAAAAAAAGAACAATATAAAACAAATAATGGCACCAAATAAAAAGTTAAATAATTTCTTTGAATGGCATATAAGTAAAACAAAAGCATCTTTGAAAAAGCAGTGTGCAGTATTTCAAGTGTTTTTTGAACCTTTTGTCTTTTCTTTAGTTTATATTTTCTAAAATATTGTCTATACAAGGGGAAACAAAAAGTGTATTTGGGTGTAATAACTGGAAAGCTTGAGTTATCTATGCTACAGAGAAACTGTACCACTTCTAGATTTCCAATTCAACAAATAGAAAAATATATAACAATAAATAACTGCTTCGGCTTAGAATAATTTAAAAAAATGTAAGAAAGAAGAAAAGAGACAGTGATGTTTATGCTTGCATTTAACAATGAGTCAGTGTTTGAATGGGTCAAAAATATTAAAGAGATAGGATTTGAATGTATTAGTGCATTTGAATACCAGTGCAACTCAGAAAATTAAAAACTGGATTAAAAAAAGATTATACAATTCAGTAATTCAATTCAAATCAATATCAAAAAGTAAGATAGGTAAATATAAGCTAATTTTGCTGATTACTTTCCATAAATATGCCCGGAAACAGCCATCTGAGATGAACCAATGGCTTTAGCAATGACTATTTGCAGTTTACCAAATAGGACAGTGTCATTCACATCAACAGTCTTCTCTATAATCACGTAGAACAAACACTTTTGTAGCATTAATCCAGATTCTATTAAATGCTGATTGTTTGAGTAGCTTTTTTTGGGTGTTCTGCTAAAAGCCATAACCAACAAAATTAGGCGAAATAAATATGTAAAACAATATATTACTCTGATAAAATTTTTGAACAGAGTTTTTGACTTGAATTGCTGAATGAATTAACGTTTATTAATACAGATATTTACTGAGATGCACCTGTATAAATGTAGAGAATAGAACTTTCTTCTAACTATACTATGGAGCTGATTGTCCTGCTGAAAACGAAGACAGTAAACTAGAGTCAATTGCAAGAATCAGATGGTAAATGTATCACAGAAAGTTAAACAGCAGCTGCAGACGTATAAACCAAACCAAACAGCTAAGAAAATAAAACTAAGCTCTCCTAACATTGTTAAAAATTACCCTACTCATTTTAATCACCATCACTTTTTCTAAACACTTGGAGCAATATTCAAACCTTTAGAAAGGTGCGTTTTGTATTAACTACAAAGCATTGCATTGTCTCAGGATGTGTTCAAAAGAACTACAGGCAACAATAATAAAAAAAACATTTAAGGGCTTCCTCCAGGTTATAAACTATTCCCAAGAGAAGCAAAGCATAAGACCTCAGGTTTCTGCTTTCTTCTAGGAGAAAATGTTGTCTGTAATAATAGTAGCTAGAAAGAAAACATAGTTTTTAAGACATAACCAACTGACTACAAGTATAGTGGTTTAGGGGAATAAATGCTATTGGAGAAAGTGCAAACAGCCCTAACAGCCATCAAAAAGCTCAGCATCAGACACATTTCTCCCTCGACTTCTCTACAAGGTTCCCCTACTTCTCTGTTTGCAAATTTAATTCTAGAAAATAATTGAATCTTACTTACAATACCAATAGAAACTAGAGGTTTAGGACAGTGTCATGGCGGTTTAGATTTAAGCTAAGTCAGGTTATGAAGGAAGACTTCCACATCGTAGATGTGGTTTAAAAAAGCTCCCGAATGTGCTGCAGCAACCAGTCCGGTTTTCAGCAAAACATGCTTTCTAATTCATCATGGAAGAGGGGAGAACATGAGCTAACCCACCAGAAAAATACACCAAAAAAAGAAGGAGCGTCACCAATAACTGACTCTTTGGAGTTATTGGCACTTCATAAATCCTAAAGACACAGGCAAACTTTCAGACCAGGCTGAGACAAAAGCAAAAAGACAGAAATAGATGCGATGTATGAGCAGCACTGAGCGGGCCATCCGCATCTTTAACTCAAGACTGTAAAAGGGAGGTGAAGTAAAGACACACCACTTCAGTACACATGGGAATGAAAGGGAGATTTTCCTGAGTGCAAAAAAACTTGAAGTACCAATGGGCGTGTCTAAATAAAGCTGACAAGGAGAGGAACTCGGGGTGTGGAGCAGCGCACGCTTTGGAAACACAGACGTATAAAAAACGGCTTTCACAAAACTCAAAAAAATATTCTATAAATAATAATCTGTCATTACTAAGAGGAGCAGTTATTGAAAGGCTGTCCATAACTGCTATGTGTCAGGAGATTTCTCCTCCTCTTCCTCGTCTGCTGCCTCTTCATCTGCCACACGCAGCTCTGAGCAAGGTGTGTCCCCCTCCTCTTCCACATCCCCTTCCTCATCGTCATCGTCCTCCCCCACCTGTTCGTCCAAAGGTATCTCTGTCGATTCAGAGTCCTGTGTACAGAGTGTTTTTGAGTCAGTACAGCTGTTCTCCTCCTCCTCCTCCTCTTCATCGTCGTCGTCGTCGTCCTCCTCTGGCTGGCTGCCACTGTCCTTTTCAGTGTCGGACTCCCCGTCCTCCTCTAGGGTCAGCTCAAACTGAAACTTGTCCGCTCCAGGTGGTCGAGTGCCGTCCTCCGGCTCATCTAAAGCTGGAGAAGGACTTTGGGGTATAGTGCTTTGGTACCACTCTCTGTTGTCCTCTAACGTGTCCAGGATGTCTTGAGCGTCTGGATGGACAAGGTCAGCCCACGTCTCCCACAAGGGGTGGACGATATAGTCTATGAACCCAACCTACAACAGAAATGATGTGTGGTCATTGGGACTACTGTTACTATGGAAAAAACATTATTCTGCCATGCTAGAAATCTTACCTGGCTCTTTTCTACTGAGGCATTGTGTTTGTCACACATGGGGCTGATCTCCATTCCCCTTTCCCTTTCTCTGTCCCCTTGGCTGAAGAACTCCTCCATGATGCGGTCCGTCCACTGTCGGTATAGCTGAAGAGGCTTGGTGGGGTTGCTCAGATCTGCACAGTGGACCATATTCTGCAGAACCTGAACATAAAAGGTATCCAATCAGAAATGGACTAATTAAAAAGCAAGTGGTGGGAATCTGTCAATTTGCCTTTAATGATGTCTGACCAGTGATTAGCTGGTCAAACACTTTCAACAAATGCAAAGACTCCCACTGCTTTTACTTTATAAAGGAATCAACTAAGAACATATTCTGATGCAGGCCTTTTGAGCTCAATACATTTTCAGATTTGCTGGACCCAAATATACTACCAAAACACAAAACTTGCAGCACCTTTTACTTTTATGTAATTTTGGGTTGGTCAGTATTAGACTTGTAAGGGCAAACCTGAGAGGACATAGTAGTTTTTTATCATCAGGAGAGTTCTGAATGGTGCAAAGAGCACCATATCTCTCATACACTGTATCTACAGTAGCAAAGAGAGGCTTGAAGCTGTAATTAGAGTTAGCATAACAACATTGTGGTCTCCCTGAGGAGTGGATTTAGATACATCTCAATGGTTAGCTTAATGTCTACACTACTGAAGTTAGCATTACTTCGCATTGTTTTCCCCTCTAAGATTTCAGTCCCTTCCTACCAAAAACCCCTGCAACTAAGTAAAAACTCCCTGATCTGGGTTGCTTAGTGACACAGTGGGTAGCATTGCTGCCTTGCAGCAAGAAGGTCCGATTCCCTGTCCGGGGCCTTGTGCATGGAGGTGTGTATGAATGGTTCTTTGTCCTGCTTGTCTCTGTGTTGCCCTGCCATGGACTGTTGACCTGTTCAGGGTGTACCCCATCTCTCGCCAACAGACAGCTTATTTTCCTTAGCATGGCTTTCAGTTTTCTAGACTATGAACATTATGTTGTTGATTAAATCAAATGGAGTTTTTTTTCCTAGATAACTAGGTGCTTTTCACCCTTTAAAGGAACATTGGAAATGAAATAGTGCTGCAGCCTGTTTGCTTTAATCCCTTTCACCCTCTCTGTATCTAGAACACAAAAATACCAAATGTGTTGTATGTCTTGTATGCATACAATTAGGAGGAGCTGCAATAAACTATGCTGTGATACAATTATCAACAAGTCATATTCTAACAAACCAAGGGTGAACATGTAAGCTTTAGTTTGACTGTTAAGGTAAAAATCTCCACATAAAACCTCAGAATTAGCAAGAAATTAGTTCATTGAATACTGTGGTCGTTTTGAGTAGGATGTGGGTTTAGAAATACAGTAGAGGATGACATTGTCAGACAGATATTGAAGTTTTCTTTGAATATGTTAGTTAGCAAAAAGGCAATCACAATGCCAATTAATAGCATGCAATCTGGTGTTATTTTAATGCTCTTTAAAGTTTTCCAGCATGTGCATTACTTGATTTTATACACTTGAGCATAAGATCAGATTTATTGTCAGAGATTAGAGAAAGTATTGATTCCTATAGCTTGAAGCTCACCTGTATCCTGTCTGAGTAATTGTCCAGCAGCAACACACCAGAGCTGGTCACTTTCTTCGTTTCTACCATGGTCTTCAGGTCAGCCAGCAGATTCATGTGTTTGGACATGTCTGTTGCTAGCACCTTGGAAGACCAAGAAAAAAAGTAAAACACAGAAAAAGGTTTGGCTAAGATATTTATTTTTCCAACAAAATGGCAATGTCATGTGTGTACAGTTATTCTCAAACTTACGATGTCAATAACCATCTTTCGCAGTGATTGTCGCTGTTTTTTGGTCAAGTTTTGGAAGATGTCACAGTTCTCCTCTTGCAGTAGCTTGAAACCAACTGCTAAGTGGTGGTTCTCCAACACGGATGAGTCGTTGTACATCAGGGCTAACTCTGAATCTGCGGGAAAGACAAAGTAAGTTGTGTCACACTTTATAGATACTTTCACTTGCAAGTTTAAGTAGATAAAACTGCCGTAACACACTAGAATGTTTTAGCTCAACTTCATCTTTGGTTGCTTCATTAGAACACATTAACAGGAAAGAAGAAAGGAAATCTTCTCTGTTACTCTTTTGGTTAACAGATCAGCTGGATAACAATTCCTTTATTGCAGGGATTCCCTATTTAGGCTTTCGGGGACTCACCACACAGTTTGTGTATGTTTGTGTGGTGTATGAGACTGCACTATGTCTATTCTGCGCTGATTAGTAATGCTCTTCTGCAATATTTGCAATGACCTGCAAAACGGCTGTTTAAAGCATCAGTGCCCAGTGGATATAAAGTCTGTGTTTTTGGTATAAATCACCAAATTAGGACGGGATCTCAGGCGCCCGCAGCCATGATGAGGGTGAGTCAGTTAGAGAGGCATAGTAGGGGGTGAGAATGTTGCTCTGGGATACATTCAGTAACACAGCACCATTAGGCCTCTCTCCATGGTTCTTAGCTAAGTTGACCCTCTTCCACTTATTTGAACTGAGTCAAGCTGGTTTTACTTCTCTGGATCCTGAGGCATCGGCATCTCCCTGTTGTAGTTGAACCTTCACTTACTATTATGGGTCACTAGAAATATCAATATTTAGTTTTTCATTGTTTAAGGCCGCATTTACACACAAATAATTGAACCTTTCCTCATTAAACATTATTACTGTCAAAATTATTAATGTATATATTTATGTTAGCTATTTATAATTCGTAAAGAGTTTTTTTTTACTTTGCATCGAAGTTGATTTATGGTATGTATAACGTACAAGGTGTATGAACACAATTTAGAAGATACTGTACGAAATAGTTTACAAAGCAGGTCAATTAACTTGATAAAGCATGAATTTTTTATTTTTTTTTGTTACCGTGATGTTTCTGCTAGAAAAAATAACTGTTTGCACTTACTGGTGTTGATGAGAAACTGATTTGAGACTCCAGGATGGTCCACATCATGAATTGCACTGGCAAAGATGGCAGCAAGGATCTCAAGGTCTGTGAACACAGCCTGGCAGGAGAAAGAACAGAGCACGGGCAAAATGAAGGAAAAAGAAAATGAAGTAGACTTCGGATGAGGTGGTTTGATCTCATAACATTGTGAAAGTATGCACTGTGAGTTGGGAGCAGATGTCTTAGAATGAGACTTACCTCAAGGGCAGGGGTGGATAGCAGCACGTGAGTTGACTGGGTGACGTCAGCAGCATGGATGTTGTTATGGTAGGCCACATCGGCATGATAATGGTCTTCTAAGGTCATCAGGTATGTTATAAAGGTGTCGAGTGGAATTTTGAAGGTTTTTAACAAGTCTCTCTCCTAAAGCCAACAAAAAATAGAGATCAAGAAACGATAAGCATTTTTAGAGTACAGATGTTTAAATTATTATGAGTATGAGATACTTACTTGAAATATTGTGTACATCATGACTGTCAGTGGCCGATTCCCAGAGAATTCTGAGATTTTAAAAACATTAAGGCCCCATTTATTCACATGCTCCAGCTCCTACAGAGAGATTTAGAGACACAGTTACAACATGTTGAAATGTGTGGCTTGCTGAGGCTGTTTGTACCAAATTTCTTAGAATTAGAATAAATAAAACACACCTTTGCCAGCTCATCCTCAGTCTCCGTCTTGACGCCGAAACGAGGGATGTTGGAGTTTGTGAGGCTGGAGGAGTGTTGCAGCTTTTTCACTCCGCTGATCTGAGACATGGGCTTGTTCTTCTTCTCCTTCTCCTTCTGCGTCTGTGGGGACGGCATCTCCACCTCATGTTGCTTGTCTGCACAAAGAAAGGGGAGTTGATTGCAAGAACCAAGCAGGAGGGTTTTGCTTTTATTTATTTAGGTAATTCCTGAGTCACCACTCACCAAGGAACGTGCTGGAGATGAACTCAGACACTTGGTTCCCAGAGCGGCTCATCTCGGATAGGTGAGTCAGCTCCCTATTCAACATCCTCTTAAACTAAAACAAGGACACACACACAAAAAAACAAAAACATTATGGCTCTGACAGTTTGTAATACAGAACCAATGCAACAGAAGTTATTGCTTTTCAAGATGCCTCGACAATCTGAGTACAGGTGCATCTCAGATAAATAAGAATATTATCAAAAGTGCTTTACAGCTGATTAAAAATGTGGCTGTCATACTCAAAAGATTTTATTTCGCTTCATTTTGATTATTCTTATTTGATAATTAAAACCCTAAATAACTTCCCCAGTTCAGAGAATAGTATATAAAAATGTTTTGTTGATTTTTCTTTTTTTTTTTTTTTCACTGCTTTTTCTACTGCTGTTATTTCCTCCAACATTTTATTTCATTAGTAGGTTTGACATCAAGCTCTCTGTACAGCCAGCAACTCCAGCATAGCATAACCCTAACCAGAAGGTGAAGTCCCTTCCTAGTGTTAATAAGTCTTAGATAAGAAGTCTACACTTCTATTTAATAACAAAGAAAGATGACTCATTTCACTTTGTTTGTTCTCAACATATGTTGAGGCATTGGTAGAGAAATGCCTAAGAAACAAAAACGAATACTTCCAATTTTATTAGGCATAACAATATATATAACTGAATTTAAAGTTCAAGAAATATCCAGCTTTGTGCCAAGGGCTGCTACCAAAAGAGTCATCTTTTCTTTTTGGGCTTAACTCACACACTTAATCTCTTCAATGCCACACTGCCAGCCTCTTTCTCCTACTTCGCTCCAGTGGGCTATGCGCATCTATAGCAGTAAACGCAAATCTTTTCCTAATTTTGGATTTGGAAATCCAAAAAACATCCTTATCTAGATGAGAATGTTTTAACCCATGGATTTTCTAACAAGGAAGCAAAAACCCAAAGATAAAATGATGTGCATTGACATCTATGCAGTTCACTTAAACCTATCACAGCGCTGTGATGTAATTTTTAAGCAAAGGTCTGCCGCAATTCTTAAACCAGGCAACATCAATATTATCCAGTGGCTTTGTGAGTTAAAAGAACAGCTCAAAATATGGGAATGGGTTCAATATTTCATATAAGCTAAGTAAAAAAGCAGACTTCTATGTTTGAAAAAAAAAAGAAATCCTCATTACGTCAAAGCAGAGCTGCCAACCTGAAAACCCCCCCGGACATCTTGCATTTCTCTTTCATTTGCTAAACCAAAGATAAATAACCAAGCTCTTTAAAGTTTACAACACAGAGAAAATTACCATATTTTTTAATCAAAACCTCATCAAAATGTATTTTCTAATCTTTACTCTTTTTATACATCATCAGCTGTTCAATTCAAGGATACCTCCCAATTTATAGGGGATCCAGAACAGACACACCTACAAAGCATTATTCCGTGGTCGACATGTTGGTGCTGTTCTAAATATAGCAGATTTTGGGTTCATAAAAAGCTGCGTCCATATTTGTCTCAACCTTACGCCTGGACAAAAACCACATGCACCACTCTGAGATGTATAAATCAAATATTGCTGCAAACAATGTGAATATTTAGCCTAAAACACCCCATCAGAGGAACATTTCTTACCTTTATGTACCCCCAGGAAACAGAAAGAAGATAATTTGCTTCGGGCATTTTGACAAGTAATTAAAGTAGATCCAGAACCAGAAAGGATTAAATTAAATATCCTTGTGAGGTGATCACTGGGAAAAACCACCAAAAAAAAAAAAGTAGAATAAAATTACGCCAGGCTTCTTTCTAGTAACAAACATTAACCTTAGGAGCCCTCAGACCCTAGCATAGAGTTGAACAGAGTCCACAAATAAAGCTGCATGTTCCTGTCCTGTATATATCCCAACACTTGCGTCGCTGTCCCAGAAAGCAGAGAGAAAACACAGATTCTGGAGGACAAATGGCTCAAACCAAGCTCTCAAAAGATACAAACCGAGCATATTGAGATTACACACATACACAAACATTCAGATATAGGGACACACTGCTGGGGCTTTGAATAATTGATGATGGTGCGGAAGCTTGGTATATGCCAAAGCAACAGGACAGCAAAAAGAAAAACTGTGAACTCCTCCCAAACAGGGCAGGCTGCCTGCCTCTGTGTGTATGACACACACTCCTGTGTTAGGAGCACAGGCTGTCTCTCTTACCATGTCACACAATGGCAGCAAATCAGGATGCAGAGAGAAAAGGAGTCTGAGCTCATCATCACCCCTAATTGGCTTGGATTGGAGCAGACCTGTGAGTACCTGCTGCTTCATTGGCCACCATTGAAGTCAGTAAAAAAGAAAAAAGAAAAAAATGCTTTCCCCTTTTCCTTTAATTCCTACAGAGCAGTGGGATGTTGTTTTGTGCAATGTGTGCAAAAGGTATTTATGTTCTGTGTTATGACAGTATGTGTGCTTGTGTTTACAAATGGCTGACCTCACCTTCTCTTCAGTATGATGTAAAAGTACAGGTTACCTCACCCAACGTTTTGCAGTGATAACAAAAAAAAGACGAGGTCACCCTTAACCCGAGTATCCATGAGGGTTGAGTCATGCTAGCCTCATTGATGAGCTGATGTAAATATTGGAAAAAAGAGGCATCGATCTAATAAAAAGTGAATAAGCGTCATAGTAATGTGGAGTGGGCTTGACAGTAAAGAAAGGGACCAATGTGTTTTTCGTTGTGTCTAAAAGGCTGTTCATTTAAAAAAAAAGAAGTTAAAACAAACAGGGACAGCTTTAAATTTTCTATCAAAGTATCCTGATAAGATTATCTAAAATAATATTCTATTTGTAGCAATTATTGATATGAGAATATTTTCTTTTGACCAAGAACCTGATTTGACAGATTCAAATTTATGATAATAAAAATGAACAGATAAACGCATGATAAAACCAATCCAGGGAACTTATTTATATATTTACTGCGAAGTCTAACTCACTCTGGGAACAGTTTATTTTTCTTCTTTGCAAATAAACATGCACTGTTTAATATCAGGGCTTAAAGGTCATTAAATTACTGTTGAAACGTAACTTAATCATGAGGGAGAGGATCCTAAAACAAAAAGCAGAGTGGGACTGGTCAATACTTGAATACAATTTCAGGAAAAGTTTGAAGCAAAAAGTGATAAATGCAGCTATATCATGACAGCAGCAATGTATTAAGGCAGTCTAAATAAAGTGTACTTTTCTCACAAACATGAGAAATAGTCATAGGAACACAATAACTAACAAACACCAGCAAAAACATAAAAAATGTATTAATGAAAACTTGAGTTTTGTGACGTTTTAAGGCTCAATTTGCTAATTTCTTTGAAGCGAGATCATAAAAATCTGAAATCATTGAACAAAACTAAACTAGTCCTTTATTGTTTGTTTTTTTTTAAGCAGAAACACTATTTAGATAAACAAAGAGCTTTAAGAATCACTTCCGCAAATCTAGATATCTCCACATGAAGAAGATATTATGCTTTTTCTTATAAAAAATTGACCTTTGAAACTTACTTTAGCTGTTTTTCACCTCTGTCCTCTTTCATTAAAAAACATATTCTTTACATAAACCCATAACCATGTTTATATCTTTCTCCTGGCTCTTTCTGTATGATGAGCCCATGAGTAGCATTACTTAAAGGGACTTTTTAAAGCCAAAAAAATATATATTTTAAAAAAGCTTAAAAGCGAGGGGTGATTGCCCTCAGAATGTGTAGAGTTACATTACTGTATAGGACTTAAACCCTCCTATAATTAAAATACTTTATACAGTACTTTATGGCTGCCAAAGCAAAATAAGTCTGCCAAATATTGCAGATCATAGGAACCATCTTCATTGCCTGTTTTGGGTTCAATTTGCATGTTTTCTAAGCCATAACAAGGCTCTGTTGGGCTACTCTATAAACCTTGGAACTCAACGCTACTCCAGACATTTTTAATTGAAAAAACTTCCTGGATGGGAAGTGAAACATCTTCAAATTAGGAAAACAAAGTCCAGGTTTTTTTTTTTTTTCATAAACTTTTCTGGAGTAAAAGGAAATAATTTTTAGCCATATTCTTAATTTATTAATTCCTATTTAAGAATTTAGATAAACGTTCTTGTAATATCACAAAAAAAAACACAGTGAGAGGACTGAAGCAATTGTACCAGAATTGTTAGAAAATATACATATAAACATCAAGTGGAAAAGATTTAGAGTCACCTCATTTAATTTCGCAAAAATTCTTCTTTAAAGAAGCTTTTGCTATCCAAAAAAAAAAATCATTCGAAAAACTAATCGACTAAGCGCCCTTAATTTAAAACAGGCTTAACATTTCTGCTGTTTTTTTTTTTTTTTTTTTTTTTTTCCTTGTAAAGGCACACACCTGTGGTCATAACATGTGTGAGCAGGAAGTCCTGTTTTTTTTATTATTTATCTGTATGCATGCATGCATTATCTATGTAATAGTGGAGTGGTTGCATGGATTGAAAAGAGACGGAGCATGTCTCTGCTTACTTTACACCCATACTCTGCATCCAGCCTGGTACTATGAGTAATTTACAGCTACGCTGGGCAGATGAGACCACCTGCTAACTGACATCCAGAGTCTTTGTCTAACTCAGATCCAAGCAGGCCAGCACAAGCTCTCTTTCTACACACACGCCCACACATACACAGACAGACTAATACGCATCCAATTTAGCCCAAGATGAATAATATAGAAATAACGTTCAGAGACACCCAATTCTTGTGTAACTCACTTTCACTGTCACAAAGACACACACATACACACCTACAAAGCACTAGCTTAGTCAGGAGGTGTGAACACAGACTATTGGGTAAAAATTGGAAAGTGTCACACCTATCTTAGTTTTGACTTGTGTGTAATTTGTTCCTCAGTGGAGGAACCAAAAATACCCATTCCCTGCTGTATATAGCCCTCCACACCTTTGTGTTTCTGTTGATTTTTTTTCTCACGTTCAACATTTAATCTGGCAGCAGACACCCCCATTCTTCACAACACAGACAGCAGACACTGTCTTCAAAAAAAAATACAGCTAACAACATTCAGATCTAATTCATAAAGTTGCTATTAGAATTAAACATGAGGACATCTATATATAGCAAACTCTCACACACCCATCCATCCACCCATCTGACCGTCTGTCCATCCATCCATTGCAGGTAAGATAAGTATAAAAAAAATGACATGAAATTTTCACCAGGTGTTCGTAAAACTCCAAGTAATCCATGCAGAAAGAAGCCAAAACAAATAAAGTCAGAAATGAAGTTATCTCTAACAATGTGAGATGGCATAGTGAAAAAATATTGACCACACACAAAAAGGGAGGTGGGAAAAGGGATGGAGTTTAAAGAGACCAGCTGAAGCCTATCAAAACCTATTGAGTATCTGGCCATTCTGTCCCTCATCAGTGCAAATGAATATCAGCTGGTTCTGTTCAGTCTGATCTCCTGTAAAAAGGCGTGTATTCACAAATTTTACAAGGGACATCTGATGATGAGTAATGCAAGTCTCTTAAGACCTTTGCAACCTTATGACATTTTAATGACATTGGTTACAGAAGGATTCAGAAGGAATAAAATAGGGACATTCTGATCCAATTAAAAACAAATACAAATAAAAATGGAAAAATAAATTTAGGGCTAAGACAATTAATTGGATTAATCATGAATAATTGATTATTTAGACAATTGTCCACTAATTTAGTAATTTATTAAACTTTTTTTTGCATTTAAGACAAATAAAACTTTTTTGTCTGTCAATATGCTCTATCCAGAACCCCTCAAGTGGAAAAGTTTTAGTTTCACCCAGTTTAATTTTGTAAAAATTCTTTTGCTAACCTTCTGGAACCCTTTTGAACCTTTTGCTATCTAACTTTTTATTGTTTAATCAAAAACATAATCCACAGATTAATCGATTTGCAGAATAATCATTAGTTGCACCCAATGGCGTAGGTTTGATTTGAACTTTGGTA